AAGAAAGCGACATTTTATAAAGGAGGCTCAGATTGAGGTCATGAATCACGTGGCAGTGGCTTGCAGAGGTGCTTGTCTTTGAAGCTGTCCCCACAGTGACAAAGAGAGAAGCCTGCAGCCCCAGAAGCAGAAACGCGGGCGTGGAGACTGATCTGGTGGGACACAGGGGCCATTGCGCTGGATGATCAGGGATGAAAGACTAATACGAGTGGACTTGCTGGGCCCCGACTTTCTGCCCAGAATCGGGGTGGAGGAGAGGCACAGAGGCGCCTGGGGGACCTTAAGTGACTCCTGTATTAAAATCACACGGGTGAAAGGGTCCCATGCCAGTGCTGTGTGACCGAGAACGGGGGTGGGGGCGGGGATGGCATGACTGCAGTGGCCAAAGAATACACTCGAGAGCACGCCAACAGACCAGGGGGCAGACCCAGACTCTCAAACAGCAGAAGGATCATTGCTACCTTAACACCTACCAGGCGGTTCCATGGAATCATCTGCCCAAGTGTCCACTTACAGACGAATAAGTGAAGTGTGGTATACACACCCACACAAAATGGAACACTCCTCAGCACCAAACAGAAAGGAATCCTGCCATTTACAACGCCATGGACGGACCATGAGGGCATCACGTTAAGTGAAGTAAGTCAGACTGAGAAAGACAAATATTATGTGATCTCACTTATATGCGGAATCGAGAGAAACCAAACTCAGAAAAGGAGATGAGATTTGCAGTTATCAGAATCAGGGCCCTGGAGATGGGAGAATTGGGCGAAGGCGGTAAAAAAGGTTCAAGCTTCCAGGTAGGAGACGAATACATCCAGGGGAGGTGATGCACAACATGATGACTACACGGAACACTGCTGTATGACGGGTCTGAAAGCTGCCTAGAAAGTGGATCCCATAAGTTCTCATCACAAGGAAAAAAAGTTTTTCTAACTACATTAGGTGCTAGATGTCAACTACACTTATTGTGGCAATCATTTCCCAATACATGTACGTCATATGTATTCCTTCAACTTATACAGTGCTGTATGTCGATCAACAGCACAAGAAAACTGAAAAAAAAAGTTTGCCTTTGCAAAATTATCCATCATTTAGCATCATTTGCCTTTGCTGGTGACTGTCCTAGCCAGGAGCAATGCCAATACAGCACTAACTGTTCCTAGGAAAGGAGCTGGCTCCATTGTCTGAAGCACTGAGACTCCCTGGGGAAGGCTCTCGGTCTGACAGTGGGCTCAGCATGTTCCTCCTCCTCACGCCATCGGACACGACTTCCACCCAGCCGTGTTCAGCCCACAGTAGTACTTACATCCAGACACTCTTCCCACCTACACTCAGGAACAAGCCTACAGTAAGACTGTCCAGACAGACTATTCTATTTCTTTCCTCAGCCTTTTCTTATGCAGTCAGACCTGGGGCTACCACAAAAATCACTCCGTCCATCTCAGCCCCCAAGGAGTCAGCTCAGACACCAAATACAAATGAGATCCCATTCCATGGCTCAGAATCAAAACAGTCCGTGATCCACTAAAGCCATCCAGGGCTCCCTATTGTACAATAACGCCAGCAGGCCTTCAGGACGCAGCTTTCCACTGTGACTCAGTGAAGACAGCGCTGTCTTCACATTTCCTTTTATTTCTGTGACTTGAATGTGAGCTAGATAAAATGGCTTGGCAATAAAACCAGTATAACCACTTCTTATGTACATAGTATTCTGTAGTACAGATGCACATTAGGAATTGTTTTGATTCTTCTCAAAGGGGGCCATTATTTACCTAAAATGCAAATCATAGTTAATGGTTTGTTTCTGTATATATAACCAACCCATGTCTTAATGTTGTGCATTCTCCATAAAATTTATGTGTGATTCATTAACAACTCTTTTTCCAATATCAGTATGTACGTGAACACAATAGTACATTTTTTTCAGACATGAGTATAAATAAAATAGCATTTGATAGTAAAATATATATATATCAGAATGTAAAACACCTTGGAATATATCTAGCAAAAATTCATAATACATTAATGGAGAAACTTTTGAAAGACATTTCTTAAAATACCTAAATCAATGGGAAGTCATTCCACACTCATGGATAAGAAGAGAGAACATAAAGGGCCTGATTCTCTTTATTTTCTTTTTTTATTGAGGTATAGTTGATATACAGCATTCTGTAGGTTACAGGTATGCAATATAATGATTCAAAATTTTTAAAGGAAAAACTTTTAAAGGTTATACTCCATTTATAGTTATTATAAAGTACTGGCTATATTCCCCGTGTGGTGCAATATATCTCTGTGGCTACTTTCATACCTAGTAGGTTGTACGTCTTAATCCCCGGCCCCTATCTTGCCCCTCCCCATTGCCCTCTCCTCACTGGTAACCACTACATTGTTCTCTGTACCTTTGATCTGCCTCTTTTTATTTTGTTATATTCACTACCTTGTTGTATTTGTTAATTCCACATATAAGTGATATCATATAATATGTCCTTCTCTGTCTGATGTAGTCCACTTAGTATAAAGGGCTGATTCTCTTTAAATCAATCTACAGAGTCAACACAGCTCTCATCAAAATCCCAAACACTGCTTTCTCGAATCTAACTCATTTATAGCCAAGTACACCCAAGGTCATGCTAGAAAAGGACAATTCAGGAGAGATATGGACGGCCTATATTTGCTCCCTGGAAGGAAAACTATGACCAAGCTAGACAGCATAGACATGACTTTGCCAAAGCAGAGACATTACTTTGCCAACAAGGTCCATCTAGTCAAAGCTATGGTTTTTCCAGTGGTCATGTATAGTTGTGAGAGTTGGACCATAAAGAAAGCTGAGCGCCGAAGAATTGATGCTTTTGAACTGTGGTTTTGAAGAAGATTCTTGAGAGCCCCTTGAACTGCAAAGAGATCCAGCCAGTCCATCCTAAAGGAGATCAGTCCTGGGTGTTCATTGGAAGGACTGATGCTAAAGCTGAAGCTCCAATACTTTGGTCACCGGATGTGAAGAGCTAACTTATTGGGAAAGACCCTGATGCTGGGAAAGATTGAAGGCAGGAGGAGAAGGGAACAACAGAGGATGAGAGGGTTGGATGGCATCACTGACTTGATGGACATGAGTTTGAGTGAGCTCCAGGAGCTGGCGATGGACAGGGAGGCCTGGCGTGCTTCTGTCCACAGGGTCACAAAGAGTCAGACATGACTGAGGGACTGAACTGACCGACTGACTTTCTCAGTTATGGGAAATCTGTGTGTGATGTGACTCTTATGGGTCAACCTGACTGGGTGACACGGTTCCCAGATATTCGGTCCAACAGTAGTCTGGGTGTATCCGAGAGGGTGTTCCTGCCGAGATTAACAATTGTCTGGGTCAAGTCAGTAAAGCAGATTGCCCTCCCCAGCATGGGTAGGTCTCATCCAACCTGTTGGACGCCTGAAGAGCACAAAAGGCAGGATGAGGGGAGATTTGCTCTGTGCCTGTGCTGAGCCAAGACGCTGGTCTTCTCCTGGAACTCATACCACAGGCTCTCCTGGCTCCCAGGCCTTCAGACCTGGACCTTTGTAACAAACCTCTTCCTGTATGCACATATCCTATTGATTCTGTTTCTCTAAGAACCCTGTGGGGGAGGGTGGACTCGCCAGAGTGGGTCCAGCCTGCATTTGGGTCTCATCTTTGCCACTAGGACCTGAGACCTTGGCCAACCCAGGGCCCCTCTCTGGGTCTCCACGCCCTCATCTCTAAACTACGTTTGCAGGGACCTCCTGGCTGTCCAGTGGTGGGGAGTCCATTTTCCACTGCAGGGGATACAGGTCTGATCGCTGGTTGGGGAGCTGGGATCCCACATAGCTCGGGGCAGCGAGGCCCACACATTCTAGCCACTGAGCCTGGGTCAGGTCTGGAGCCCATGAGCCACGGAGAGCCCTGTGGCCCCACTGTAGAGTCACACCCACACTCTGGAGAGTCCATACGCCACAGTGAGGGCCAAAGACAGCCATAAGTAAATAAATAAACTCTAGTCATCCAGCTTTCACACTGAGAATCCCACAGACCCAAAAGCAGTACACCCCAAAAGGAGCCAAAACCCAAAAGATAATCCTGAAGTCACATAGTCATCCTGACTTTCCCATAGGCAACCTTAAAGAAACACGCCTGCCTTTGGAACTCAGCAGTCAGTTCCAGCCAAGGAGTAGCCCCCACCCCACACTCTCTGTCACCAGCTAAGCAAGCCTGAAAGAGCGGTTTCCACTCATGTGCACGGTGTGAGGCACATGAGGCTGCGTGCACCAGACCCCCACCAGCCTGTGCAAGGCAAGCTCACGGTCTGAAATCCAGCCCCTCTTTGGCTCCAGTGAAGCTGACTCCTCCCATTGAGGAAGTCCCGGGTTCAACCCCTGGGTAGGGAAGATCCCTCAGAGAAGGAAATGGCAACCCACTCCAGGATTCTTGCCTGGAGAATCCCATGGACAGAGGAGCCTGGTGGGCTACAGTCCATGGGGCTGCATAGAGTCGGACAGGACTGAGCGGATCACACTTTCACTTTCACCTTAAAGTGTTAGCATCTGGAAAGAGCTGGGAATACCTACTTCCCTGCTGGCTTTCTGGGTGCTGTGCATTCCCAGAAGGGATCAGAGCACTTCTCCCCACGTAAGCAGAATGCCCCAAGGTCAAAGACAGCCAAAAAACAAGATTATACTCCTGGCCACTCAGTGTCTTCAAAGCGGGACCATGCCACCTTCCTGAGTCTGTGAGTGCAGGAGGAAGCCCCAGTCCCCAACCAGCTTCTCGCTGTTGTTCAGTCACTGAGTCGTGTCCGCCTCTTCGTGACCCTGTGGACTGTAGCCCGCCAGGCTCCTCCGTCCGTGGGATTTCCCAGGCAAGAATACCGGAGTGGGTTGCCATTTCCCTCTCCAGGGGATCTTCCCGACCCAGGGATCGAACTTGCATCTCTTGCTTGGCAAGTGGATTCTTTCACCACCAAGCCGCCAGGGAAGCCCCCCAGTACCTGTATTTGATGTCAAATACTGTGGAGTCCTCGTCCTCCTCATCCTCTTCATTCAGCGGGGCCATTTCCACTCGCTCGGCGGGAGTAGTGATGATGTCATACTTGCGGGTCTTCTTCAGCCTCTTCCCGGACCTGGACGAGGGGAAGCACATTCCTGAGACCCAGGCGATGCCCACTGAAGTCAGCCACGCTGCCACCCCCAGCCCAGCTCCCAGGAGATCTGGCAAAACCCCACCCAGCTCCTCCACTTCCGGCCATGGGACCTCGGACGGGATCCTGACCTCAGCATCCCTCGTTGGTCCTCACCCACAAAGCAAAGAGGTGCCCTGAGCACCGTAAAGCCCTGGGATCAGGATCCATAACACTCAAAAGCAAGATTTTCAAAGGGCAAAGTAAGGCAAAGAAAATCCACGATGCGCCGAAGATCAGAACGTTCACCATGGATGGAGCTCAGCCAGGCCCTGGGCCAGCCCTGGGCAGGCCAGGCCCTGTGCCCCCAGCCCCCGGCCCCGCGCCCTTGCCCCAGCCCTGCTGTGTCGCAGGTCACTGCTCCAAGCACAGCCATCACAGCGCTGCCCACGGGCCAGCCCGGGCAATCAGAACCCAGGCTGGGCCACCTTCTACCTGTGTGATTGCAGGCCAGTCGGTCAATCTCCCGAGGCCTCAGCATCCTCATGAACAAAATGGGCTGAGGGCAGGGTCTGAGCCTCACAGCCTAGGGAGGATGAAGTGAGATGAGTCATTCAATAAGCCCACGCAGCAGGCTCTCAGCAAACAGGACTGCTGGTGAAACGAATCAACAGGGAGTGACTCCCCTTGTGGTCCAGTGGCCAAAACTCCGAGCTCCCAGTGCAGGGGGGTGGGGTTCAACTCCTGGTAGGGAAACTAGGGCCCACATGCCCCAGCTAAAACATCCTGTGTGCCACAACTAAGACCCAGCACAGCCAAACAAATAAATTTTAAAAAACAAATCAACAAAGAGGAGCTAAATGCACTGTGGCCTCTCTCATATGACAAGAACTTGGACACATCAGTATTGCTTCCGTCACAAGGATTTACGAGCATCGGGAGCTGTAACCCTAGGCTTTTACCTCTGGGATGGTAGATGGTCACCAGGGGCCCCCTGGAAACTGCTGAGCAAGCTTTTCAGTCTCTAGTGTCAGACCTTCTATATGAAGCATGCAGCACTGATCAGGCCACGCTGAGAGTTTATGATGCCACAGGGAACAATATTATTTTATGACTACTGATGCTCTAGGCATTTATTTCCCCACTATTTTGAACTTTATCCCAAATGCCTTGTATCCTCTGATGTCCCTCTTTAAAAAAAAAAAAGAAATTGAAACTGTCTATGAGAAACCAGTCAAACCACCACCACCCCCAAATCACAAATAGGGCACTGAAGAATCACATTCTCTAAACCTTCCCACAGGCCGTAAGCCATATGTGCATAGAGACCATGTCAAAGATATGTGCAGGGTCTCTTTGTCCCCAGAGCACAAAACTCCTCAAGAATTTTGCAAAACAGTGAAGACAGAAGTTCACCTTCAAGTAAGAATTTCTTAGGAACAGCAACTTGCTCTTTTCTTGAAAACAAAGAGTGTTAGTCCCTCGGTTGTGTCCAGCTCTTTGCAACCTCATGGACTGTAGCCCACCAGGCTCCTCTGTCCATGGAATTCTCCAGGCAAGAAGACTGGAGAGGGTTGCCACGCCCTCCTCCAGGGGATCTTCCCAACCCAGAGATCGAACCAGAGCCTCCAGCATTGCAGGCAGATTCTTCACTGCCTGAGCCACCAGGGAAGCCCAGGGAAGCTCTTTTCTTGCCTAGTATTATTCATCAAAAACATGATTTGTGAAAGGATTATTTACATGGAAAATATATATATTTATCTACACCTTTGACATAAAGCCTACATAGCCTACAGTATTTGCTGCCCGTGGTTCTCTGGGTAGAGACTTTGGGGCATCAGGTATACAGCCTGACAACCTCCTAGCCTCATTACAAAGCAATCTGTCATCCTGCTTCCATCACAGGTGGTGTGTGTGTGTGTGTGTGTGTGTGTGTGTGTGTGTGTAACCACATGGATTTCAAGCACAGTGCAGCAAGGTGCAAATGCCAAGCCAGGTGGTTAAGAGATAAGAGGGCCACAGGACAGCAGTATTTTGGAAGCAGGTTTGTGTGGCAGCTTAAATGCTAACGTGATAAACCCCTCTAGTCCAGATTCTCACCATCAAAATTCTTGTTTTCCCTCCACCTCTTGGCAATGGAGTAAAATAGATCTTTTTATTCTGCCTCAGAGAAGTTACAAACCCTGCCCAATTTAATCTCCAACACTGGATGGAGACATTTAAGCCCAGAAATGGCTCCATACACCCCAGGCAACCCACAACAAAGCCACAAGGAAAACCACCCACCCCCGAGCCCTCTAGACTAGGATCAAGCCCCAAAAGTATGCTGACCCACACACCACTCCTTTCTCCGAAGTCTCCTATCTCCGCCCTGATGGGTCACAGCTGTTGGGAGGATCACCTGATTTTGCAAAGGCCCTGCCCTTCTGGTAGCTGCGTGTAGAGCAGGGCTGCCCGCTGGGCACACACGCCTGCACAAGCATCCGGAACACTAGACCAGGGGACGGCCCGTGGACCCAACGGCTCAAGAAGGCTCCTATAGATGCCCAGAGAGACGACCAGCACCCAGATGATTTCCGGATGAAGTCACCACTGTTGGGAACCATGTTTCAAACATCATGAGGCTGACAGAATGCAAAATCTGGACAGTAAACCTCAGGCTGCACTTGGAACCTGAAACCTGACTTAGTCACTGGTTCTGGAACAGGACTGGCTGCTGACCCTGGGAGAAGGTTCTGGGGGCTCTGACTTCAGCCCTGCTTCACGGGAATGAATCCCCATCACCCACAGAATCACCTTCCTTCTTCCCGACTGCTTATACAGAGTCTTGTGATGAGAAAATTAACCTACTGAGCTTAAAATAAGACCCCTGAACACTTACTCATGGGAGAAGCTGGAACACAACCCAGCCTCTAGAACACCATGGCCTACTTACTTTAACACCAGCCACTCCAAACCAGGTCACCTGAGAAGATAATTTTAAACCTCAAGATTACACCAAAAGTGTGACAGTTAATTTTATGCATTGACTTGATTGGGCCACAGGGTACCTCAATAAACGCTTAAGCACTATTTCTGAATGTGTCCGTGAGAGTGATTCTGGTTAAGGTTAACCCTGGAATCGGTAGACTGAGCAAACCATACTGCCCTCCCCAGTGCAGCTGGGCCTTGCCCAGTGAGTCAAAAGCCTGAATAGACAAGAAGGACTGACCTCACACAAGGAAGAGAGAATTCCTCTGCCTGGGGGCTGGGACATCATACTTTTTTTTTTTCCTGCCTTCAGAATTGAAATCTTAGCTCATCTTAGATTTCTGGCCTGTATGTGTACACACACACACACACACACACACACACACACACAACACACACACACACTCTCTTGGTTCCATTTCTCTGCAGAACCCCATCTAATAACCCTCTGCAGTTACCCTCACGCATACATCAAACACCAGTTCTGAAACAATGAAGACACTGCATTCCCAACAACTCTCTGAGACACGACACCCTTCACAAAAGAGGAATAATTCCTGTTGTTTTGCTACTGGGTCTGTTAACAAGGGGAAACCAGGGTTGGGAGAGGTTGAAAGAGACTCAGCTTCACCTGTGGCAGGAGCTGTGAAGCTGGCAGAAGGGAGCTCTGGAGGGAGACCACGGCATACAGCGGGAGTCGGCAAGGATGGGGCAGGGGTGGGGGTGGCTCGTGTGCTTCTCAGATTGAAAGGTGGGCTGTTTCTTTACCTTGTGTGAGTCAGAAGCAGGGAAATGCATGCACAGGGTTGATCGGCATTTCCTGCAGACCCTCTGACTCTTGAGCCTCACTGTCCTGGAGTCAGAGAACGGAGTCATCCTGCCTCGGAGAGGAAGACGTGAGATAAGGGGAAACAGACTCGCTGAGAGCATATACAACTACGCCGAGGCCTGCTGTCTCTTCAGAATGCTCTAACACAGCCATCCCCAACCTTTCTGGCACCAGGGACCAGCTTCATGGAAGACAATTTTTCCATGGAAGTGGGGAGGGGCAAAGTAGTTTTGATTTCACCCACTGCTCATCTCTTGCTGTGCCCCTAGGTTCCTAACAGGCATGAGCCAGTTAGGGTTAGGGATCTCTGATCTAACTCGTCTTTTCCCTAAGAGGTGAGCTCCTCCTGAGTGCCAGCTAACCAATTAACATTTAGATCACACACAAAACATAAATCATCCTATGAGGCAACGGGCTTCCCATGTGATGCTAGTGATAAGGAACCCATCAGCCAATGCAGGTTAGACACAAGACACACAGGTTCAGTCCCTGGATTGGGAGGATCCTCTGGAGGAGGGCACAGCAACCCACTCCAGTATTCTTGCCTGGAGAATCCCATGGACAGAGGAGCCTGGTGGACTGCAATCCATAGTGTCACACAGAGTCGGACACGACTGAAGGGACCTAGGACACACGCACACACATAAGGCAGAAATGTTATCTCCGTGTTGCTCAGAGAGGTCGACATCCCCACGACCAAGGACCAAGGGCTGCCGCAGCACAAACCTCCCTGGAGGGTCACCTTGAACCACCTCACGCCGGCCAAGAGGAAGGCTCCAGTTCTCCACTCACTCTTTCTGCAAGCTCACTCCACACTCCACTAGAGTCTGCCTCCACTTAAACACCAGGAATGCCCTTGGTATGCATTTTTCTGCAACTTGTTGCTTAACACAGCTCACACGTTCCTATTTCAAAGCTATCGGGGCAGACTGCTTATAATAAACTCTTTCTAATACTGACTCCCTCCGGACATGAGTTGGTTTGGGACAGGCCAGCCTCCATCTCCTCCCTCCTTTGGGCATCTGTATCCTTTGTGAATTCCCCTGACCCATGGTCCCTAGGGGATGAGAAGGCCTGACCACTGGCCATACCCCCAGTTCCAGGAGTGGACCTGGGCCTTAAGTCTGAGTCAAAATCAGTGTATTGCAACCCCGAGGCCATGACTGGAAGGTTGGAGGGAGTATGTGACTAATCGGAGCCAGTG